TTATTATTTTTCACTTTTTTTTATTTTATCCCTCTTATTTTTTTTCAATGCGGGCACTTATTCCCAATGCGGGGCACTTATTGGTTTTACATAACATATACAAAATTTTATTTTGAGTAGTCTTAATTTAAATTCAATTAATAAATGTATAAATTAACATGCGTTTTTACTTTAAGTTTTTAACACTAAACTTCATTACAGTTAGAAATTTACAGGAAATCAATATCAGGTAAGTAGGGGGTCTACCCAACACGGAAAAACATGGCAAGGGGTCTACGACACAAAAAAGTTTGTGGAACTCTGGTCTAGGCCCACAAAACCGCTTTCTATTGGCATTGCGGCTGGGCACTTTCGCTAAAGAAGATTGTGAATACTTAAGCACCTACTATCCTAACGTTGGCCTTCTACTCCTAATGCAAGGAAAACTTATCTAGGTTGAATCATCATTTCAATAGTTTGGGATGGCTGACAAAGCAGCCCCATGGAAAACGCACAACAGGCTCAATGACGCCTGGGTCCTGTAATAATCGCTGATTGCCCTTTTGCCAATATAGACTCTATTTGGTTGACACCGCTAAAAAATACATGCGACCTAACAGACAATTTAATTCAATAATTTTATTGAGTAGCTTTTGTACCTTTGGTTAGTAAGTACCCAGTTAGTTGATGCACTGGTTCATCAGTAGTGTAATTCTTAACAGTAAATTAAAAAACTTGCACAGAGCTTTGAGATCGTTATGTGGCGCCAGTATTATTTTGAAATTCAAAAACACTTACAATACGTCATTAATTTGGCCATTTGTACATTTTGTTCGTTATGTTAATGAACTTCTGCTGACTTTCCATTAGTAATTATAACAGTGATTATCTGTAATCAATATAGGCATCACAATACGAGTTAAGTCATTAATTTATGCACAGTTGCAACTTTGACAGTGATCTTGAAAATTATAAAATTAGCTCTATAAAATTGGTATTGGTAATCCAAGACAAAGGATCAAGGCAATAGTAGATACAAATTTTATAAGAATACGTAGTCCTAATCTGCCAAATCTGTGTAGTTATATATGTATGTACCTGAAACAATGGTAGCGAAACGTTGTACAGTAAATAGAAATTAAAACATACGCTTAGTTTAATTCGCCAAGACAATGGAGTCCTATAAACATGAAAACCACAAAATAAGCTTTAGGAGTTATCTACATTAACAATTTATTTGCAATTTTTTTTCAGTGGTCCTTCTCCGATAGGTCGCATTACCAAATATGGAAGTGTGAAACCTCAAACTTCCCGCATTGATAGCAAATAGAAATTTTTATTGTAAAACAAAAAAAACAAATGAAACACCCAATTTTCAAGTTTTATGACTTGATTAACGTATAAAGGACGTTAATTTTATAAAATCTTAAAAATTAGTATAATTCGAAAACGGCTAATTTTCGGACAGTAGTTCCTACAGTAATATCGACTCAGATTGGCTTGTACTATCTCCCCCCATCGGCTCTGCATCTATTTTCCCGTCACCTTGTATAAAGAATGACATGATGTGAGGTATAAGAGCTGAAAGCATCCTATGTACATGTCTTGTTCAACTTAGGGATTAGATTTATGCCTTTTCCTACTAATACTGCCTCGTACACAGTTACTTCGGCTTTGCTAGTGGATATACAATCCTGATAGGAGATGATCACATCGCCAGTTACTGCTGCACACCCGAATAAAGTGGCACGTAGGTAAAGATATTTAGGTTATTCTCGCTATAAGGTATCGATCGATGCGGTATCTTCAATCGTCTTCAGGTAAACTCGCGAACATGTTCCTTCTGTCGATATTTATACTCTCATCGCTGACGTGTCCTAAGCGCTACTGTTCTGTAGATGATGTTACCGATTGGTAGCGATGACGTGTCCTTTGGGATTCCTGTCCTGATCGGTCCAACTGGAGCTTATTGAGTATCGGCTGCCATACTGCTTTTATTCCTACACTGGCAGTACTGTATGTGTTGGCATTTCTTGGCGTCTCCCAATTTATTCTGTGGTGTTCCTTCCATGCGTGTTCTGATATAGCGGACTTCCCTACTGCAGCGTGTTGGGAGTTGATTCGATGTTCCTTCACTCTTACTGCTATTAGTCTTTTTGTTCCCCAGACTAGCATCTGGTAATCTGGTGTCAATGCCATAGCACTTTCCTATTCTCATGATTGAATCCAAGCTACAACCAAGCTATGGTATGCTCCTTGGATGCCGTTCTTCTCCCGGTTTTCTAGACCCGTCTATGAGTTGCAAATGTTTCTCACTCGATGTATGAGTGGGCCGATCACGTCTTTCTTCATAGTTGTCGGGTGCTTTGAAGAATGGTGAAAGTATTGCGCCATATATGTTGCTTTCCTGTAAACTGCAGTCTATTTGATTGTTGGTCTTATTCATCATGATATCCAAACATGAATGGGTGTTCCCGACCTCCACCTCTTTTGAAAACCTTATCCGAGATGTTGAGATACTTGAAAAATTCGCGCAGGTGATCTGTTCCATAGTTTCAAATTATAATTCCGGTTTTCTTTCAGCTGTGGCATCGACTCAAATTACTCTATGTATAGGTTTGATATAACTGGAGGCAGCGGTGCTCTCGCTGGTAGTCTATCTTCCTTCTTCAAACCGAACTGTGGTGGATCCATTATGCCTTCTACTGGAAGATGTATCCTTTCTTCGAGGCTTGGGCCCTTCTTTAATTTTTCAAACAGCGGTTGAGTATTGCTCACCTTTACATACTGTATATATCTAAAGATCTCTCTTAAATAATTATTATGATTGTATGTCATGCTGTTGGAGTAATGGTCTTCGAATGCGGTAATCTCCAAAGCGAATAATTGTGAATGTCAATATTTGTTATATAATATTGCGGTTGCTTAATAAATCTAATGATTTTTGCACCCATGATTGGGTATGTTGCTTGTATGCATGTGTCATCTGGCTACGTCTATATGAGCGTTGTGAAAATAGGTCTAAAGATCGAAATATCCGTTACTATTCTGAAATTGACGGACTATTGCAGGTGCTCTATCAGAAAATAATTGATATTTCAGTTTTGTCTCAATTGCGCGGTTTCCCAAAGCTTAGAAGCTGTTTTTTTGTCCTTGCCATTATAATAACTCTGTGTTGCTAAATCCAATGCCAAACGTGGGTTTCAGGCAGAGAACTCATCAACTGATAGAGGTATCTTTTTGTCGCCATCACTAGATTGATTTTCGAAAATTATGAAGTATCTTCACCATTGCCATGCTAGCGACCTAATGATGAAGATTCAATTTTCGAAAAGCGACTTTAGTGTACTAAAGTCTTTACAGTATTTGGGCCTCAGTTTAATAAATGAAATTTTATAGTACATTTCTATCCTGTTTTACTAGAAGACAAACAGCAGTTCTGATTTTGGATTGTAATCTATATATAGGGTATTTCCTAATAGAATGTCAATATTTGAGGGAGCGATTTTAATGAAAAATTTTCATAGGAACGTATGTCCTAAACGTCCCAGCTTTTGAGATACAGGGTGGTAGAGTTTCCAAAAAAAATATTTATTATTAATATCTGAGAATACAACTTTATATATTCTAATGAAATTTGGCATACAGGTAATGTTTCAATTTTTAATGTACTACATTATGTCCACCAGTGGCGTTCAAACCGAATTTCACCTGCCTATTTTGGAAGACATTGATGGTACGCCACAGATTTCTCTTAAAATAAAAATTATTCTTAAAGTCTCCAGTCATTACTAAGCACTAAGCAAATTTGACTGAGTAATTTTTTTAAATCTGGCTCACGGTTTTTGCTGGAAAAATAAAAATAGTTTCTCTGCGTGATCATATTGAACATCGTTAATATGACAATATCACCATGAAGAGAAATAGCTTTTATTATTTCATGTGAAAACCGTGCATCGGACTAACAAATTCAGGAGTTAAAATCCGCTCATAAATGAATATAATTTTTTTCATTTTGAGATTTGAAAAGTTAAGATGTTTAGGACATACATACAAAAAATCGTCCTTGAATATTGACATGCAATTAGGAAACACCATGTATAGAGAAGTAGATACATTTTCAGGCCCTGTGTATGTCGTACAAACGTTCTCATTTACATTATAATATGAACATTTTTGTCTTATAATTTATTACCGCGCTGCTAACCACATAGACTTACAAAAAAATCGTTCTTCAGACACGTGTTATGAAGTTGGAACACTGGAAGAAACATTTTAATAGCGGTATGTGGTAGTTGGTAAAGGAGTGTCTTGGAATAAAGCACAAAGCGGTAGTGACCCTGTTTAGACAGGCGTGTGATTTCTTGATATAGGGACATACTGCATCATATCCAAACATTTTATCAAAGACAGACTTGGAGTAGAAAAGAATAGAAGAAAGCATTTGTAGCACTTCCTCGTTCATTTTGTGGTAAATAGACTTATGAAGGATGATGTAGTAGTTTATTTTCGTATCTTGGAAAAATTGTTTTTCAACTTCGTACATTGAAACAGAAGCATAAAGTAAGGCCGCGATATAGAAACAGTGCGCTGAAAAACGTAATATGCCATGTTGGATCTTATCACACCTCAGCTTTAGGGCGAAATTTTTTTGTTTGAAATTTAAACTGCAGGTTATGCTTCTTCTTGTACATAGCAAAAAGGGAAAACGCTGAAATATACCTTTTGGAGGCAGAGTGTTGATATTCCGTGGAAATAGAAATTTTGTCCTGTAAAACATCCACATTGTTTTGATGAGAAAAGCAACATCAGACAATTTAATATTCGAGAATGCCGATTTCTTACAGTTGCGTTTTCCAATGTGTAGTTGCTGATAAGGAATTAGCAAATATAGCGAGATTTATAACATACATATGTATTTCGACCATCCAATGTTTGGAAAAACTGGAAAATAACGATACATTTTTGACATTGATTGGCTGACTGATGAAGTGTCTGATATACTGCTTTCTATTTTACAGGTCCACCTGGAGTCAGAATTGAAGACGCTTATGTTCAATTATACCCGCTGAATAAACACAAGTGCCATGAGATCGACCCTGTAAGAGATATTTCATATCAACTATTTACAAGGTAAGCACTGCGTTACAGTTAGATTTATAATAAACAATTCATCCTGTAATAATACTTTACAAATATTTTAATAAGCTTATGTTTGTTTCTATCTGGTAATATATTTTGCACTTTTTAACAAGTAAATTGAGAATGACAATCGCAACTACAGCTACTGGCTCTTATACCAGAAGCATAAGTCCATCTGTTAGCCATAAAATATTGCAAGATATGCAGTTATTCAAGTGTATGGCTATAAAGATGCACTTCCGTTTCAGTCCCACATTTTTTTACTTTTACTTACTATTAAGTCTAAACAGTGTGTATAAGCCACTGGCACATTCGCCACTCGCTGAACCCAAGACTACAAATGACAAAACTTAGCTATCAAAAAAAAAAACAATTCCAATGCTCATACATATTCATATCGGCAAACGCAATGAAATATTTACGAGCAGCAAGTGCATTGCGTTCGCCTGGAAGCAGACGGTCATTTCACTGACTGCAAGCTGATCGGTCTAGGTCAAGATGGTATGTGATTGCGACGGTTGCGGTTGCTGTTCGTGCGATCTCTGCGTTGCAATAACACTTCCTTTCTTCTTCCGGTTACGTATTCCGTGTTAGCAGTGTCGGCTCGCCAATGTAATGTTTCAGGCTACTCTTTTTAAACAAGAGAGATTGGTTCTACAATTGTTTCTAAGCCAACCCCATCAGGACCAACTCTGAGCTTTTGAATGGCATCAAAAGTTAACCAACTCTAGGCTCCTGAATATACGTCTTCAAAACTAACACATTTTTCCTTAACTCCAATAAGAGACAGACAGCTATTCATCCTGCAGAGGTCCGTGAGAACGCTACCAAAACTCGAACCGATTGATAGTCTGAATCAAAGTGCTGAGCTTGTACTCTGTCATTTCTTCTTTTGGAGTGTCGTCTCTCTAGTAAAGGGGCCTTGTAAGAGGGGTCGGTTATTTGTACCCATTTGCCAATATACAATAGATCCAGCCATGAGCGAATACCGATCCTTCTTCAACAGGGTGATCGTTCAAGGTTAATAAAGAACTGGAACTTTTGACTGCGTCATCTGTCAAGGTACAGTCTCTCCGTCCATTCTTTTCCCAGTGCTCAATAAGTTCATTCACCTACAGCAAATATTGACGTGTCGTCTGTCTATAAGCTTGGAGCATACAGGTGCCTCCAGCAAATTGAGGTTATATATACTATATAGCCTGATTCCGGAGAAAAATCTTTTACTTCTGGACTCTACTTAGGTTAGGTTAGGTTTCTTGTAAGTGCATCAATAACGATCCTCCACTGCGACTCTTTGTCTGTTGTGGCTCACACCTATTTATATTTCCCCCAGTAGCTCCGATCTCCTGAAGAAGTCGATCAACTTGCCTGACCGTTTAATCTCCCTCCATACACAGTCTGCACTCAGCATCTTCCTCCATGCCCAACCTGCTCATGTGGTGACGCAATTTGCAATAACCAGTGTACAGTCCTACTAGAGCTTTGAGGCTATTCCTGTTCAACCATAGCAAAGAGTATGTTACCTTCTTTATCAGGATTGGATTAGTTGCCTTAGCATGGATTAACCCTGCAATTCACTCCCAGTATTGATGGATCTTTCTGTCCACCTCTGCAGAGATTATTTGCTTAGCCGTATTGTATGCGATCCCAATCGCTGGCTCAGGCCCTAGGAATGGTGTGCTAGCCCCACTCTTTGCCAGAGTGTCAGCTGTCTCGTTTCCCTCTATACCTTTGTGACCTGGTAGCCATATGAGACGGACTTCATTTCTCTCCCCTAGGTAGGTGGAGTCAAGTGCTTGACTATCTGAAAAAATAATTATAGTTCTGTGCCTCAGTTGTCGTTCTGCGATCATTCTGGTACCCAGTTCTATAGTATACAGCTCTGCCTGAAAGATGTTTTAATCTTTAGTTTCGGCATGAAGATACCAGCTCCAACACCTACCTCGGTCCTGGAGCCATCTGTGTATGCACAGATATCTTTCCTTACCAGTTTAACTTGCTGTTCCCACTCAGTCCTCTGTGGAATTATCGCTGAGTAGGGTTTAGCATATCTTGTTATCTTTGTCAGTATATCAGAAGGCACTCCCAGACTGTGGTGGTTTTGTAAGTCCACCAGCATGTCCATCTCCTGCATAGTGATATCGTCGATTATACCATTTGCTACATGATGTAGTCTATAAGATATCCTTCTTGCCTCGCCTTCCAGGTATATGTGCCTGGGGGTAAATTAAGAAGAACTTCATTAGCTGGAGTTGGTGTGGTACGAAAGGTACCAGCGATCAACATACAAGCTTCTCTCTGTACTGCTGGACTCTACTTACTCTCGACTTTGAATATGTTTCAACCTACACAGATATGATGGATGGGTTGATCATTTAGATAACTGGAATTACATATTAATGGCCTGCTTTCCTATATGAACAATTCAATCCATAGTCTCTAAATGCAAAAGGTCAGAGTCACAAGCAAATCTGTGCCAGTGAGCTGGTGGAAAGAAGATTCTCTGACGAGAGACCTGCAAGTAATCACTTCTTAGGATGCAACTGTCTTGTACAGTTTAATGCTTCCAAACCACAATACAGTACCTAGACGAACAAAAAGCGTAATAGCGCTCACCTGTTTCTATGGATGGTCGAGTTCTACCAAAGAGCCGTTCGTTTCGGCTAGCCGAGTTCAGCTTACCAAGGACCTGATCTGGCACGAACACATCTCGTCATTAGCGGCAGCTATTGGGGAAAGGTTAGAGTATTTGTTTAGGCCTAAGAAGTACTTTTCTCCACTTCAAGGCCTAGCCTCGAGTATTGCTCACATATTTGGGGTGCTGCCGTCCCGACTACATTATCCAAGCTCGATGCTGCCTGACTAATCGATGATTCTTCTCTTACTCGGGGCCCTTTCGCACCGACGGTTCGTCGGCGACCTAGCTCGCTTCTACCGCTATGCCAACGGGCTTTGCCCCTCTCCTCCATTATGCCTCCGCGCGATGTGCCTGCCAGATAGACCCACCTGACTTCACCCTCCCATCCTGTGTCAAACTCCGTAAATCCAGAACTGGTCGATATACCGGTCCTTTGTCCCTAAGGCATCAAGATTGTGGATTAATATACATGAGGATGCTTTTCCCAGTTCTATGACCCTTAGGCAGCCCAAAACTCGGATTAACAAAAAGCTCCTTATAGCAGCCGCGGTACCCTGGCATTTAGGCTTTTGCCTGTGCGACTCCTTCAGTGTAACAAAAGTGGTAAGTCAGCTCAACCAATCTTTTATGTTATATTATTTCCCTGAAATCGTTATTTGGATATTCTACTGGCTCTCAACTAGTGCAGACTAAAAAACTATGCAACTAGTCGATTGGCATCTACCTATCGGACTCTTGACAATCATGCTGTAGTGGCAAAACTACAAAATTCCTAAAAATATGTGGGATGGTACATCTGACTGCTGAGGTATTCTTTAGAGAATTACCCCTATCGGGGAGTATGTCCATGCAACATTTCTGCAACTGGACGCAGTCACCTAAGAAATGAGCTCATAGTACAAAGTGAAACATCTTTGTGCAGGAAATTTCACCAGGAAGATGAGCCAGTTAACCATCTGCTCTGCCCAGTTATCCTATCAACACGTGTATCCATTCTGGGAGAGCGTTGGTCTTCAATAGCAGAAAACATGAAAACTGTGCATTTTTCCGAAAAAAAGGATTCTCACAAATGTGGAGATCTGAGAGGGAATTTATTGGGAACCTCTAGTATGATCTAGATAATGACCTAATGGGTCATTTTGAACTCAACATAACTTCAAACAGCAATAAATATTTTTGACACTAGATTCGGAATCAAAAGAGCAAATGAGGTATAAAAATCACAAATCGATAGAGAATTGGAAAAAATATGACTATTATAAAAGGAGGAAGGAAAAAGCAATAAAAATACTACACTTACAAAATCATACCTTAGTACAGAATAATTTGTTTGAAACTACATTTTTTTATTTTTATAATACTCGTACATTTTCAATATGGCGCCCTCTATTTCTAATGCACACACGTGCTCTTTTTATGACAGCTGATTTTACTACCGCCGAATTCCTAAGAGAGGCTTGAATTTCTTGTGCTGCATGTATTATCCTGTTTCTGAGGTCTTCTATTGTGGGTACAGGATTTTGAAAAGAGTATACTAAAATTTTCATGGGACCCCACACAAAAAAGTCCATAGGTGTGAGATGGGGACTGCGTGCTGGTAGAGGCGGACCAATCCCATGTCTTAATCGATTTGTGATTTTTATACCTCATTTGAAAGGTAATAAAACGTAGATATTTTCTAATTGTTTTGTTCGAAAAATGTGTATGCGACTTTTTCTAGTAAACTGAAGCTTTTGAGATAAACGAGGGTTTTTTGAACAAAAAACGAACTATTTTGAAGCTTACTGCATGAGATAACGTCATTAATGTACATTTGAGTATCAATTTTTGTATTTTAGAATATTTTTAATGTAAAACCAAAAAAAAAAATCAAATGAAACACAATTTTCAAGTTTTATGACTTGGTTAACGTATAAAGGACGTTAATTTTATAAAATCTTAAAAATTAGTATAATTCGAAAACGGCTAATTTTCGGACAGTAGTTTCTATAGTAAAATCAACTCAGATGGGCTTGTACTATCTCCCCCCACCGGCTACGCATCTATTTTCCCGTCACCCTGTATACTGTACAGAGGAACTACGCAAGATATGGGTCGGAACAGTGTTGGCGTTTTTTAACGGGTTTTCAAGATTTTTTCGCTTATTATTGAAAATGTCGATTATTATTTTTGCAGTGGTAGAGGTCGCCTATAATCACATGTTTTCATCTACGCAGTCGAGCCAACTGTTACAAAAGAAAAAACTTGTTTCGGAAAATTCCTCCGTAGAGACCTAAATATTGCTGAATTTTTCATGAATACAAAAATATCGTCATGTAGTATTGATGTGATTCGAACAAATACTGAAGTAAGA